TTCTTAATAAATTTTATTATTAAATGCGTTATCAAAACATAGTGCATAGCATGAAATTTATGGAAAAGAAAAAGTTAATTGAATCCAATTAACTATATGTATTTGACCCGAGCCGTTAAAAGGTCTTATATCTGCAAATTCATTAGTTAATAAAAGACTCTAGCCGTTTACTTAATAAATCTGCAAATTCATTGTTGAATATTATTTTTTCCATTTTTGAATTATTATTCACTGAATTAGATGTTCAAATTTATATTATAAGAATACTTTATATTACAATGCGCACATAGTAATATACTTAAGATAAGTTATAATAGATTATACATTAAATTTGTATTTTATATCGACATTTTTATAAAATTGACTAAATAGTTTATTATTTTTCGACGATTCCCGTTTAATGAACGGGTAAAAAACTAGTTCCCATATAAGTGAAGTCACTTCTTACTTTTTAAATTCAAAAGACATGAAAAGATATATAACAATTAAAAAATTCAAAATTCTATAAAAAAAAAAAAAAGAATAAGGAGTTAGAAGCATTCTGATTTAACCATTCTAAAAACCCTCTCTGCAATACATATAAATATAGATAGCTTTTACTTTTGGCCAGTCACAAAAAATTTAAAGCCCATTGGCCCGACGCTTCCTGTTATTACGCGTTGTGTAGCGTTTGCTTTGGGCCTGCCTATAGTTGAAATGTGTTTCCCCATTTGTTGCATTTCTAAACTTCAAACACGTAAAAGTTACATATAATCATAATAATTGCAAAAATTGGGTATAATCATAGTTGGAATTTTCAAAATTGGATACGTAAATAGCAGCTTTTTTTTAAAAAAAAAATTTTTCTAGCGGGGGAAGGATGGCATTTGAGAAGTGAGGAGAGGTCAAGGGAATTAAAATCCAGAACCTGTATGTTCTAGAGTTTCAACTTTAACCATTAGACCAACGCCTTTTCGATAATAGCAGTTTTTCTTAATTTTTGTCAGAATTTTAGAAACCTTTTCTAAAATGACATGAATCTTTAGAACAAAAAAACAGATAGCTTGAGCTTTCAGATTTACTAGTATCAAGAAAAGGTATCTTTTTGCTTATAACATTGGTCTTACTCCTTTTTTTTTTTTTTCCCTCTGTTTTCATGCACAAAACAAGTCAATATTAGGGAACTAAAAAGTGAAAACGTGTGTTATATGATGTCCTATAACACTAGTAATTGATAGCACCATCTCACCTAATATATATAATACGCTATGATCTTGAGCGAATACCCATTGCAAAAAGTCTCTTTTCCACAGGACCACAACAGAGAGGGACGTCCATCAAACGTTGTTCAATTTGTCTACTTACAACGTATGTTAAACATCATCCTGAAAGCACATTTAGGGATGAGAACATTTCTGCATGAGAAATAGAAGCCATACAACCTTAGTAGAGGTCATTTGATTTGACTACCCTTGTTCACTTCTATCTACTTTTTTTCCTGCGACCAAGTAAGACAGATGCACCTCTGATTTCACCGTCTTTATTTGCATTCACCAAATAACAATAAGGTCAATAAATCGAAATGACATTTGAAGAAAAAAAACACCAACTACTCAAATTTTAGATAACCAAGTAGTCATCTGAAGTCAATGACTTCCTTCCTATCTCAAAATCTTTCAAAAAGCTTTTAACAACAAACTACATCTGACACTACATGATCCCTGCATTGCAATATGACAATTATGTTCTTAGTAAAACAAAGTCTTCTATTTTGGATCGCTTTCAGTAAGAAGACGGTAGACATATACTAGAAGAATTCATTGACCGGTTCAATGATAACACTTTTAATAATTCAATTGTATAGTCCCTTCAACAAGAGAGAAGAAAGACTTAATAGAACATGCAACTCAAGCTTCCACAGTGCCAGAGTGGGAAGGTCATGCCGGGAGATGGCTCAGAATGGCTGTTGGTATGTATCATTCCTTGTCGGTAACGAATTTCCTTACATGCTTTGATACTGCTATCATGGAACTAGTGGAAAGGTTTCCATTTCTCGAGGTTTTATAAGCTTTTGGATGTTAAAATTCTACTACAGTTGAATTAGATTATAGACTTCCTTGTAAGTTCTTACAGGTCTACTTCTAACAGCTTGTCTTTGATTGCTTGAATTTTGTACCCATCTAATTTAGTCATTATATTTCACCAGAAACTCAAACTGGTCAATCTGATTAAAGAAATCACAAGTAAAGATGTTGGTAGCTAGCTACCAATATTGGTAGAAATCTGATTTAAGTACAGTTTATGCAGGCTGTAGCATTTCTAGAAAACAGTAGGTGCAAACCAGCTGTTAGGGAATTGAATAACAGGCAACAGTGGTGTGTAATGCTAACAATAGCTGACCATCCTTCTCCATGCTGCTTAAACAAGAGGAACTCTGTTATGCTTACACACTGAAGCAAGGGTAGATAGGTTTCTATCAGTTATGCAATTTTTCTTTCTTTTCGATTTTAGAGGGGGAGGAAGAAGCTTAATTATGAATGTACTCTATGCAATGCCTTCTATCAATTCCTTGAACATCTAGTGCCAATCTCAAGTACAGATCTCAGTTGAATCTGTCCTTACTGTACCTGAATTCAGCATTAGCAAAACCCTTACCCTTGATGTTCAATAAATTTGTCTATTTGATTAAGAACTAAAGCTCAAATGATCTTTCTACTATACAGAATACGATACGGAGAGACTAGATTGATTATACTTTTCATTCCCTAACTATCTTATGTTTCTGTAGAAAAAGCAGAATAAATGGACTTATACTTGCCTCAAATGAGATGTTTCTGCATTTTTAAGTTCCGAGTCCTATTTCATATGCTATTTGAGTTCAATACTAAAATACGAAACGCACAATCCTGTGACTTTAACAGGAAACGATTCTGCTATGCATTAGTTCTTAAATGTCGAAGCTAATTGTTGCATTAGCCAGCTAAAACAATTCCATATTTTTCCAGCTTCAGGAGGGGGGAAAAGTGCACATTGAAGTGGCTGAATCATTGTTGGCTTCTATTTCAGAAATAATAGAAGCGGTGGTGTGCATAGGTATAGAACAGGATGCTTTCATGCATTTTGGATCCTATCTTTATCGGGCTTCTGCTGTCATAATGGAGTTAAAAATGGATAGCAATATTCCAACAAACACAATAGAGATACTGAAGTCTCTGTCTAGAAGAATTGATTTGGCCAAAGACCTCACTAACAAATGCCAACAATTGGCACAAAAATTTCACAGTGCAGGCGTAAGTACTATTGTGGAAGAGCTAGAACATGTCATTCAAAGTATGGGGGAAGACCTTAGTTTGATACCACAATCAACAAAAGGAGAAAGAAACTATACAGAAATTGCTACTAGTTCTCTTTCTAAAGAAATGAAAAATGCTAAATTTGTAGTTACTGGAAATCAAGGTTCAAAGCATGGAGAGCTTGACAGACGAGAACAGCTGGCTTTGGAGGATATGTCGAATAAGGAGTCAATAGAAAGTGAAAAAGATCTGTATTCTATTGATATTGAAGATTCCATGAGTACATCCAATCTCTCTGTGAACAATAGCATTGGAACCACAAATAGCAGAAATCTCACAAACTGCGACAGCTGGAGTGGTGTATCTTTGGTACGCTTGCCAGACATGGCTCAGTACCTGGAGCCTCTGTATGAAACTTTCTTTTGCCCTCTGACAAACAAGATCATGGATGATCCAGTAACCATAGAAAGTGGAGTTACATATGAAAGGAAAGCTATAAGTGAGTGGTTTAGTAAATTTGAGATCCCTGAGGAAATTTCCTGCCCAAAGTCGGGGCAGAGGCTGAGAAGCAAAACTTTGAACCCCAATGTTGCCTTGAAAGGAACCATAGATGAATGGAAGGAAAGAAATGAAGCAGCAAGGATGAAGGTTGCTCGGGCAGCTTTGTCATTGGCAAGTAGTGAGAACATGATACTCGAAGCACTGGATGATCTGCATGCAATGTGCCAAAACAATCAGTACAAGAGCGTGCAAATTCGGAGTATAGGGATCATTCCATTGCTTGCCAACTTTTTGGATTATAAAAGTAGAGATGTAAGATGTGCAACCATACAGCTATTGAATCAACTAGCCAAGGTTGATGATGATGGCAAGGTGATCTTCTCTTCTCCTTTAACATGGAATATTTCCTTCATTTTGTCTGTGTAGCTTCAGGGTGAATTTGTGTTACTATGATGCTTCTACTCATTTATTAAAACCAGAGTTCAATTAACTTAATGGAAAAACAAATCTGATCCTCCTAGCAATAAGAAATGATAGATCAGGACAAAGTTCAGTTGCTTAGAGTAGATTCAAAAGGTCCATATAATTTTAGATCTCAAAATAAAATAAGGAACTCTTTTAAGGGTAGTGTTCTATTGCTGTCTCCAAACGTTAGAGCATCTTTTATCCAGTACTCCTCTTCATTCTTTTATTTGCACAGGATTTGCATTTTTATCCTACATGCACATAGTTATTAGAACATAATAATCTCTTGCATTTCCATTCCACCAAATATGCTGTTACCCATCCAATTGTCTGAAGAACTTTGGAGGGGAGGATAAAAAATGTTCGAGAAGAACTATGTGCATTGTCAAAACAAATTGTAGCAGTAATGTGTTTGCCGGCTATTTTATGTGCAGGAAACTGTTTCCAAGGTGGTTGATATTTCAAAGCTAATAAAGATGCTTTCAAGTAATAACCAGCCTATTAGGCATGCATCCGCCACACTTTTGCTTGAGCTTTCCAAATGCCAGTTTTTCTGTATCAAAATTGCCAAGATTTCTGGAGGCATCCTGATGTTGATAACAACAACGTACAGGCAATCCACAGATGAATACACTTCAGTAACAGCTCAAGAAATCTTAAAGAATCTGGAAAAATCACCAGATAACATTAAACTCATGGCAGAAAACGGGTACTGGGGACCACTGTTAAACCATCTTACTGAAGGTAACATCCAAAATATTCTGGAGAATTCGTTGCTATCTTACTTCCAAAAACATTATCATCTGGCAAAGGAAGACTAATATAAGATACTAAAATGTTCTTGAACCTGTATCCCCATACGTGAGTTTAGGTAGCGTAAGCAACAAAGTTGGGAAACAATTATCAATATACAATATTATAGTAGATCAAGTCATTCAATACTCCTGGTTTCTGCAACACATAAAACCTGGCTTAGCCACAACTATCCATGTTCGTTGGGCGCTAGACATGATTCTTTTTGTCTGCCTCCACAATATCCATATCTTTCTGGCCTGAAGCTACTGAATTTCCAGCTCCTTTCTTCCCAAACTCCAATTCCCATCAATTGGTGGCTATGTGCAAGTCTTGTTAAGGGGAGCCACGGCCATTATTTTGTACGCCATAAAATATCCATTACGCATGCGAACTAAACTGTGCAAAGTTTAAACCAACAGGTAGTGTAGAGATGAAAATAGAGATGGCATGCTACCTTGGTGAAAATTGTCCTGGTCCAGACAGCAAAGTTTATGTCACTGAGACGGCTTCTTCAGCTTTGATCAACATGGTACGCAGTGGCAGTTCTCTCAGCAGAAGTGCAGCCTTTAAAGCCTTGAGACAAATTACTTGCTACCAACCTGATCATGCAATACTTTTGGAGGCAGGGATTGTGCAAATCATGGTTGAAGAGATGTTTGCAAGAACAATTCATGATGAACCAGTAAACTCAAAGAATGAGGCTGCGGCAATACTTGCAAATATATTTGAGTCCGGAGTAGAGCTGGAGAATCTCCAAGTAAATGTCCATGGCCACACAATGGCTTCAGATTACATTATCCATAACATCATCTTGTGGATAAAAAACTCAACCCCAGAAGATTTCAGCATCAATCTCATCAGGATCCTGTTATGCCTCATGAAGTTCCCCAAAGCATCTGCTACCATTGTTTCTGTGGTCAAAGGAACGGAAGCTAGTTACAATCTGACTGAGCTTATAAACAACCCGAATGAAGAACTTGGGATTGTATCAATCAAACTGCTCATGATCCTCGCATCATTTATGGGGCACACTCTATCAGACAGACTATGCAAAACCAAGGGCCAACCAGAGAGCTTAATAGCAAATCCAACCGAAGTTGGTCTTATCACTGAGAAGCATGCGGTATCAGCAAATTTCCTAGCTAAGCTTCCCCATCAAAACATAACACTCAACCTAGCTTTGCTCAATAAAAACGCAGTCCCAAAAATCATTGAAAGCATCACTTGGATACAAAGGACAGGCACAAGGGCAAGCAGATATGCAAGCACTTATCTTGAAGGCCTTGTGGGCACGCTTGTGAGATTTACAACTACATTGTATGATTATCGAGTACTATCTTTAGTGAGAGACTACAACTTCACATCACTCTTTACTGAACTGATCATGAAGACATCCAGCGATGAAGTTCAGAAGTTGTCAGCTTTTGGGCTCAAGAATCTGTCAGAGCAATCAGTCATTCTTTCAAAACCACCCAAGATCAAGAAAAACAGGTACAGGAAAGCTTTCATGTTGATCAAGCTTTTCTCATGCAGCTCATTTAAGGACGAAAGGATCCCGCTTTGCCCAGTTCATAGAGGAGCTTGTTCTTCACAAGACACCTTTTGCCTGATTGATGCTAATGCAATTGACAGACTCTTGTCCTGCTTAGACCATGACAATGTGGAGGTGGTTCAGGCTGCCGTTTTAGCACTATGTACACTGTTGGATGACAAGGTTGATGTGGACAAGAGTGTGAAAATCTTATCTGATATGCATGCCATCAAGCATGTCCTAAATATTGTGAAGGAGCACAAAGAAGAAGGCCTATTGCAAAAATCATTTTGGATGATAGATAGGTTCCTCTTGAAAGGTGGGATTGAAACAATTTCTGATATATCGGAGGACAGATTGTTTCCTACAACACTAATCAGTGCATTCCACCATGGGGATGAGCGCACAAGGGAAATGGCTGAGAAAATCTTGAGGCATTTCAATAAAATGCCTACTATTTCCGCCAATTTTACCATGTAAAAATTTCTTATTAGCTCAAATGGCTTAAATAATTCATGTTGACACAAAAATGTGAATTTGTTTCCTTCAGCATGCTAAGTTACGAAAATTATGCATGCCTTTTAGGAATAACGGAGTTTTAACTTAGCAGGATTTCGAGAACCTAGAAGCCAAAGTAAAGACTAGAGGTTTATATTTTGACATATGCAAGCCGTACAGGAGTATTGGAAACAGCAATGGTAATAAAATTCCACATAAAATATTATAGTTAAGAGGGGTTAATTGCATACAAAATAAATACGTACGTAAGAAAAGCTATTACATAAGCTGGCTTGTTACTTCTGAAGGAACCACCATCTGATATTGCGGTCTTCCGTCATCAAAACCTCCTTGTCCATAATATTCTTCCTGCCAATTTCATACAAAGCTCAGTACTCCTGTTTTCTTGGTTTCTTTCTCCTGGCTAATGCTGTGTAAGACTAGTCAATCGAACATCTTCCTTCACCCATGATGGAGTGTTTGTTTGGCAAGAATTTTGCTGTGTATATGGCTTTTATGTTGTTTTTAAATTTATGTGACGGCTAAATTAGCTTTTGAATGTCTTAAACAAACAATTTTTGTATGACAAGAAACTAATAACCTACACCTTTCGTTACAACTGACAAGTCCAGATGCTAATTCTCAAGAATCATGGCGTTTGAATAATTATGCAGTAATGCAGGACAAAAGTTTTACTATCAAGGTATAATAAGAATGTATTTTGCACGTCTCTGATACTGGTGGTATACTATATCTTGTTTAAATTATTCTATATGAGTTATGTCTTAGTCATAAGGTCGATGGGAGGATGTAATTGAAACGTCTCGAGTTGAAATCCTTCCACTTACATTTAAAAAAAAAAAAACAGTAATAAGGGCGGCGATGCATACGTTGAGGCAGTATCTTGTATAGACTTTAAAACAACAGTTGCATGCGACCCACAACTACTGGTCACATCAGCCAACGCCAAGTCCCAAAATAGGTACATTTGGAGGCAGCTACTAAGATGCCGGCCGGCATGATTACACAACTAACCCGTTCTGGAATGTAAAACGAGATAGGTTCCCATTAAGTTAGTAGTACTGACAAAAACCAAGTTGTAAAGGAGATCTTGCTTTTTCTCCAGATGGCATTCCAGATTGAAGCTTTCAGCTGGCATAGGACGGCAGTTGTTTACTTATTGACACAGGATATCAGATCGCTACAAAAATAGAAGAAACCATTAACTTGATCAAGAATGAATTTTCCTATGCAAAGGATGTTTTTGCTCAATCTCCCTTGCATTTTCAATCTAACCTATTGCACTGGAATCTCTACAAAAATGATAGCCTTACCATATTAAAGTGTTGATATTCAAAGCCATAATACGTATTGTTTGGTGGTCTTCAAATTTGCATGGTTTTACTGCTCGTATGGACAAATTTGCGGGCTTTTCAAACAAAACAAACGAATAGCCACCTCGACGAAATATAACATCAGATTCAACTGACATTTAAAATGAGAGTGCAAGGGGAGGGGGGCAGGTATGAGTCATATGGTATTTTCCCTTTTCATATCTGAATAAACCGGTAGTTTTAACTCAGTCGACAATCTATCATTAGCTTGGAAAAAGGAACATATTGTTGACTAGTGAATACAATAATATGTGTGCTGTCTGGAACTTAATCTTCCGGTTGAAAATATGCAGGCAGACAGCCCAAAACTTTTTCATCAACATCATGCAACGAATTAAACAAGAAAAGTGAACGAAATTTGGGATCTTCTGATGAAAATGTTTCTAGAGTAGACTTTGTCAAACAAAAAAAAACAAAAAAAAAATTCGTGTCACTGTCAAGCTTCAGCAATTTAGGCAGCCAAGGTCTCTTTTGTCTACCATGTAAGTTGAGGACATTCAAGTTTGCAGGAAAAAATCAAACTCCTCTCAACTATTCTCTCCTTATCTCCATCTTTTCCTTTGCTCTCAAACATTGCGTGCATAATTGCTGCATAAGAGTCTGCTTCACGAGGGCCAAGAAGATGGGCTCTTTCTCAATGGAGGACTTTGTTGGAAATGGAGCCCTAAAGGCAATTACCTCAAAGCTGATGGAGGATGGTTGGGATGATGTACCGACTTTGAAGCTCATGAATGCAGAAGATATGAATTCCTTAAACATGACTCAAGAGCAGAAGGTTGGCATACTATCAAATCATCTCTGTTTCATAATCTAGTTCAGACTGTTCAGTAGAAGTTTTCCTTAAGAATGACTTATCAAGTCCTTAACTGCACCATCTTCGAAAAGAGTTTCCAATAATGTTTTTGCAAACAAGGGAATTGTACTTGATGTCTCTTTGATTTCCAGATTTGCCAAAACAGTAATGTCAGACATTTTTCCATGCTGTCATCTACTAACACCCAGTTTTGTCAGAAAACTCACCACTAGACGTTCTGTTATAATTTCTTTTCTTTTTTCCAAATTAATCTACTCTTCTGTTTTTGTTAAAGAAATAATAATTTTTTTCCTCATATCTAAAGATCATTATCTTGTCCTACTGAAGGATGCACTTGAAATCAGATCGTACCTGCATGATCGTGCACTAATGCAATATGCTGATCACATGGAGGCCTCTAGGAAATGCCTTCCTGAGCTTCTAAACTTGAGCATGGGAGATCTTTCAACTCATTTTGGAATGAAAAGAGGTCACGTTGTTCGTTTTATGGACAGAATGACTCCACGTGCCGTAGATCCTTTGTCAGCATCAGCGTATCTCACACCAAGGAAACTTACCTCTGAGCCTCTCAGAAATAACAGTATTTACAAGACACGGCCTTCGTCCATCAACTCAAGAGGAGGTCCAAGCATGACAAGATCAAGTGTAAAACCCAGTGTAGCTTATGATATTTCTATTGAGCAGTCCATGGCAGATTTTAAGATCAAAGATGGACATGTTTTTAAAGGTATTGTAGCTTCACTGCCTGCTGAACCAAGAGCATGTGGATGTGTACAGCCTCCACCTGTTGTTGACAATGTTGCTCCACTATCAGCAATTGAGAATGTTTCAGTTCAGAAACTTACCCCAGAATATAAGGTTGGAATGGAGCGTCTGGTGAAAAGCAAGACACCTCCCATGAAGGCTTCAGAACTCTGGCGTGATAAACCAGCAATTCTCCTCTGCCTCCGGCGCCCAGGGTAAGCCTTAATGCAATTTGTGTTCGATCATCATCATCATATTTTGTGTATATCTGCCCAGGTTATGCATTTCTCAATTCAAATTGCTTCAAGGTCTAAAAGCTTTTTGTACCTAGTACAAACAAAAATGCACAAAAAGTTAATTATTTTTAACACCGATACAAAACCTTGAAAAATAAGTATCAGAATTCTCAAAATATGGTATTTGCACAGATTGAAGATATTGCATGAGAGCTTATTAACATATTTAGTCTAACGTGGTATTAAGCAGAAGGCAACTTATACATCCTGTGTTTCCAGGTAGGTACTTATTCAAACACTGCAGATATTGGACAGATTTGGCATTTGATTTTCTTTTGCATCATTAAAAAATCACGCATAACAGTATTTTTCTCTGTAAATGGGGGCAAAAAACAAAACAGGTGCATCATGTGCAGAGCTGAAGCTCATCAACTTTATTCTAGAAAACCCATCTTTGATGCAATCGGGGTTCAGTTGTTTGCAGTTATTCACGAGCACATAGAACCAGAGGTATTCTACTAGTCACCTTTGACATATTCTCGTGTCTTCTCACACAACTTAAACTATTACTTTGATTGTTATAGGTAAAAGACTTCTGGCCCCGTTATTGGGGTGGTGGTGTGGTCTATGATAGAGGAATGGCATTCTTTAAAGCACTGGGCGGAGGAAAGCTTCTAAAAGATAAATTTATATCAGGGTTCCTCTTAAATCCTCAAGCTATTGCAAATTATAAGAAAGCCAAGGCTACAGGGTTGGAGCATAACTTCAAGGGGGAAGGTGAGATAAAAGGTGGCCTCTTCATAGTTGGCAGAGGAAAGACTGGCATTGCTTATCAGTTCATTGAGAGAAACTTCGGAGACTGGGCACCACTACCTGAAGTCCTTGATATCTGCAACCAATTGCAGGTATTTATTTTAGGCTTCCTTAAACTTGTGCTTTTCTACTGTGAAATTCTCATCCTAAAGAGCTCTTCTTTACACATGCAGAATCAGCAAAATCAATCGGAGTCTGTCAAATTATCACAAAAGGACTAAATTAGTATATTACAAAATCTGTAAACAGGTGTAATTTGTGCATTTCTACTGTCATATTCTAGTTCTGGATATTGTTTCTCAGCTATTTAATTCACAACATCATGAACATTCTTTCCTTGCGCAAGAATTTATTGCATCATCTTTACCCCCATTCGAATACTAACTCTTTTTCCAAAAGTAAAAAATTCGAACAGACAAGACAATTCATGCAACAAAACTAACCACATTGAGTAGTGTACTAACAAACAAGAGTGTGAAGTTTCCTTGCTTTTTTACTGTAACTAGGAAGGCAAAATAAAACTTGTAAACAATTGCTGTCATCTTTTGATCCATTAATACTGGAAAATGATCTTCCACTGGATGATCCATCTGGAAAAGAAGTACATTCTTTCATGATCCAGTGAAAACTTCAGCTGAAGCTGGATATATCTCTCACCATCTATAGCAAAGAATGTCTTTTCCATTCCAAAGCAATAGATGATCTATCCCAATGTCAAAGAAGCAGAAACAGAAAAGAAAAAATGAGACATCTGAAGCATGTTAGGGATTTAAAATCATTATGAATCAGATGCTGTTTCTGCAATATAAACATCGAAATTGTCAACAATCCAGTTGTAATGTCACCTGATGTGCATTTTCTTATTGATGGATATCTTTCCGGAATGTTTCAAGCAAAATTTACGTATCATTTGAGAGAAAGAGGAAAAAGTACTTTTACCTCGTGGAAAAAGATTCTGATAGGAAGATTTCCCAAGCCACCCCTCATTCAAAAGATGGAGAAACATCTTAGCTAAGCACCCTCACAAACCAAATTATTGTCTGTCTTTTATGTAATATATGATGGAATGGTTTCTTCACAGAATGCACTCTTTTCACAAGATTAAAAACCAGCTCGATTGGCATAGGAGCAACTTTTTCATATTCATTCCATACCATGCCTTACTTTTATGACCCTTCCCAAGTTGCAGTACCATCAGCAAGAGTTTCAAGCATTACAAAATCCATCACCAGAAATCCCCACAAGAACATTTCCCATCCTTAAACAAATGGTAGCGTACAGCATCTCTAACAAGGATTTCCCTCTGGGTTATCTTGGAAATAATTTTAGTTGCATTGTGGCAGTCACCACATACTCGGAGGTTTTTCACCACTCTAATGGGTAAGGCAGGAGGGACAAAAAGCAAACCAAAAGCAATAGCAAGCCTCTCACTATGGTGGTTCAGACTTTTTATTTTTTCTGACTCCTCAATATCATGAAGTACTGAACTCACGTCTGGAATATATCCCTCATCTATCATTTTGAGATTCAACTTTTCCAGTTCATTGTATATTTGATCTGAAAATGGACTGGACTTGTCATCGGCAGAGAAAATATGCACCTTGTTCTTGTATTTAATCCAACTAAACCCTGGCTCCTTTTTGACACCCTTATCTCGCATTCTTCTTCTTAATTGAGCAACCTCACCCCATAGTCCTCTAGACGCATACATACTTGAGAGCAAAACATAGCTAGCAGGGTTTTCCGGGTCTAGTTCCTGAAGATATTTTGCAGCCCATTTCCCAATTTCTATGTTACCACGAGATCTGCAAGAGCTCAGCAATGTAGCCCAGCCAATTGCATCAGGTTTGCAAGGCATCTTCTGTATAAAATCTTTAGCTTCTTCTAACTTCCCAGCACGGCTAAGTAGATCTATCATGCAAGTATAGTGATCAACCATTGGCTTTATTCCATATTCCTCAACCATTAATTGAAAATAGTGATGCCCTTCTTTTACCAATCCTGCTCTGCTGCAGGCTGAAAGAATGCCAATGAAAGTAACACTGTCTGGTTGTAGTCCGCTGGCCAACATTTTCTCAAATATATCCACTGTTTCATTGGCTTTTCCAAATTGGGCATAACCTGATACTAGTGCAGTCCAAGAAACTTCATCCTTAATCTTCATTTCATTAAACATCTGATGAGAATCTCCTATACTTCCGCACTTACCATAGAGTGTTACAAGTGCATTAGCAACAGTGGTAAAGGAAATTAAACCTGAAACTTGTGCTTGAGCATGAAACTGGCCTCCCTCTTCCAAGCTAGCTAGGTTCCCACAGGAGCTAATTACGCTTCCTAATGTATATTCATCTGGCTCTATCCCAATTCTCTGCATCTCACAAAAGATCTGAATGGCTTCCTCACTGTACCCATTCTGGCCAAACCCCACAACCATTGCAGTCCAAGAGACAATATTTTTGTATGGCATGCTCTTAAAAACTGTCTCTGCAGAAGTAATGCTTCTACACTTTGAGTACATGTCAACAAGAGCACTGCCGACAAAAACATTATCAACATGATTGGTTTTAACTGCAAAAGCGTGAATCTGTTTACCTTCTTTTAGTGCTATAAGACCTCCACAAGCAGTGAGAATGCTCCCCAAAGTAAACTGATCAACAGCCAATCCTTCCAACATCATATTTTGGAAAAAATCAATTGCATCTATCTCAAGACAATTTTGTGTTAGCCCTGTAATCATTGTGGTCCATGAAATCGAATCTTTTTCAGTCATATGACTAAACAAATGCCCTGCCTCTTCCACCATCCCACACCTCAAAAAACCCATAATCATCGTGTTATGTATGACCAGATTCCTTTCAGGTAACTCATCAAAAACCTGTTTTGCATGACATATCAACCCTGACTTTGCATACATATCTACTAAAGGACTCCCCACGAACACATAAGACATAAAACCACATTTCGTGATTTGCCCGTGAACTTGCCTACCCAATTCAATCCACCCTTTGTTCAACGACAATATACCACTTAATTGCCATTCTGAAGGCATATTCGAGGATTGGTAGTTCAGAAGATCTTCATTCCTCTTCTCTGGTCCAATATTATCCTTTTCAGCCATATCCATTATGCTTGAAGAACTTCCAAACTTGGCAAATAACAATCCGTTGCAGTTAGTTTTCTTTCAAGAATCGGATAGGACTAGCAAGATTTGATTTTTACAAAACTACCCTAAAAATTCCAACTTTGTTCACTTTCTTCAACAAAAAGACCTATCATAAGCAAAGAGTGAAACCAAAAAAAATTACATTAACCTTTTAAACTAGCTCAACAACTAGATAAAAATTTCAACTAACCATGGTAAAAAATAGGAGAGTACTACTAAATTTAGACAGAGAAATAGGTACATACTAAACCTGTCCAAATAGCTGAAATGAAGCAAACAAAAATGATCCCAAATGCACACTTACATTTATTACCAATGAGTTAGAGTTAAACAACTATATGTTTGGAAAGAGTCCGTGCACCAAAAAAGTATATTAAAGAACGGCATATAGAAGAACATCGGTTTTTCCAAAGCAACCACTGAATTTCCAGAAGTCCCTATAAATTTGCACTAAAGAAACTCCTGGATATCCAAAACAAGAAAGGAAGAAAAGCCCAGCTCAGTAGAAAGCTAAAAAAAGTGAGCAGAAGCAATTAATTGCGCAGAGACATTGATTTTGGCACAATGAATACTCATTCAACCACTGCAGAAACCCTAGTCAGAAGTAAACAGAGCTCTGAAACAGAGAAAGACCCAACTAAAAGGTGTGAGAAAAGAAAGATACCCAATTTCAGATTCTGAGCTGCTGATACTTTTGGTAATACGCTCTGCATACCTTAATCTTGAACTGCTGACTTTTTCCTTTATTTTGTAAAAAAAACTTCTACTTTCTTGAAATTTAGTACTTAAAGTTCTGGGATTCTGAGGACTCTGCTGTTCAAACTTTTGAACAACAAAGATGTTAGTTACAGGAGGGGTGGAAAGGAGAGAGAAAAATGTGTAAGAAGTAAGTATAATGATCAGATTGAGGAGTTAAGGACTGGAAGGAGAGAGAAAAAGAAGAAATTTGGTAATTGAATTGAAGGAAGTGAAAAGGAAAGAAAGATTGGGAGCAAAGGTCCTGCATTTATACCCACGCCTGCATCAAAAAAAGTGCTCTTGATGATTAACCACCGCCACTGCTACTGTTAAAAAATTGCCACAAGTAAATTAAACAATCAGAATTTTGATTATGGGGCAGCTAAAAATTAGTCTTTACCTCAAATGGCTTTTCTCCAAAGTAATACTACGTTGCAAATTTTAAATGTTATTTCAGCAAATGCACAAAAGAAGAAGGGGGGAAAAAAAAAGCAAATTTGCATTTTGAGAAGTCAAATGCTGGAGTTAAATGCTAGCCAAGGTCACGTACCTTTTATTCTCGTTACATGTACGAGTTTGGTCCTTATTACTAAAGGATCCGGGCAAGCATATGAACGTACTAGTTTTGATGGTCCCCTAGCATGAAAAGGAAAAGAAATAGCAGCTATCTTTTCTTGATGCATTAATGGATACTGAGACTGGATCTTTTCTTTCTCAAGTACTCCTTAAATTTCATCTAAAGTAAAAGAAGGAATGGAGTACTTGAAATTTTTCTGGTGAGTGCTAATATCATTTTTCATGTACGATGATTATGATTCTGGGATAAAGCCTACCTTAGCTTTCCTTAGATGCAACAATTTTCTTTGCAATTTCGTACGTGTTTGCTTTTAGTATTAAAATTTTTTTGTTTGACAGTAGTAGAATCCAAGCTGTCTTGGTAAGATTCATTATAGTATGTAATGGTCCAAAACCCCTCCTCTTCATTCTCTATTATCAAATATCATGTGGCTTTTCCTCGCATGATGGGAGAAGATTCAGATTCGATGTGCTGTATTTTGTAATAGATATTTACCAAGTAGGACCGTACAAGACAAAACATGAGCTTTAGATGGCTTCAATAGTGGTGTAGAGCTTCAGCAAAGATACAACTTTGGTCATGTACTTGGGGAGGCTTTGATGGCAAAGGTGAAACGACTTTCTCAAACCTTTGACTGAATGGTTATCTTGGTATGCAGAGATATCCTCCTCATTCATCGACTCTTTAAAAAATTATCAGAATGTAGCCAATTACACTTAAGAAAACACATCAGAGTTCGCTTATGTGCCTGGCGCCAGAGACACTACAAATTGCAGAGTACTTCTTTGATCAGTTTAGCATCTGTACTGTTTAGATTTTTTTTTTTTTTTTTTTTTTTTTTTTTTTTTTTTTTTTTTTTTTTTTTTTTTTAAGTGAGATCAGGAGATCCAATACCACTTATATCTTCGCTGCTGAGAGGAACACTTGAATTTAAGCCCATTTGGACTATATTATGAAGCTCATCTTCCCACACATTAGGTACCTATAAATGATTGTGAGTATAGATACAGGGTACAAAGAATGCAGGCACAGTCTATGCCTTTTTCCCACTCGGAAGAAATAAGTTTCCGCTGTTCCAGAGTATTTTATCAGTAAAACCTAGTCTACCCCGATACATCAAAAGAAGAGAAGACAAGCAAAATGCAAAATCAAAGCTTTATGATAACAGGGCTTACATGAGATGAAGGTTCCTTCAAGTTTCCACTCACGGTGGTCAGAGGTGAATTGATGGATCTTCGAAGCACATCTGAAGGGCTCCCCAGGCCATGAAGACCTGCTTGGACCATTCCTTGCTGTGATTGATGCAGCTGAGGATATGCCATACTCATATCAGGTGGAAAAGTCAGTGATGAAGGACCAGCTCGGGTTTGAAGGACCTTTGGTCAAGGTAATGGATATGTATGAATCAGAAATCATGCCAATTTAGACAAGAAGTTTTGCAATCAATATGTCATGTTTGCATAATGATGTTTTTCTTACATCTTTTGCGAGGAGCCCTTCAATGTTAAAATCTAACCTTGGGTTTACTGTTGCAAGCTTCATTGACAGGAACTGAATAAAAAGAGAAGAAAATACAATCAGACACATAATACCTCAACATGTAGAAGAAAAATAAAATCTGAAATGGGCATGGGCACTAACAACTATTCTACACCACATCATATCCTCAATGACCGTGTAAAAGGTAGTATTTAACATCAACTATGTCAAAGTGACCCAAAATCTTTCACCTTTGTGGAACGATTGAGAGAGCCATTTCACTAATTAGTGCTCTAAAAAGATGCAGGAAAGAAATCTTATGGAGCAATTAAAGCATGTCCAAGAGAACTTTAAACAATTGTGACTATATAGAACGCATATAAGGTAGAAAAAAAAACACACATTCACAAACACATAAAATGTGGGAAACAGTAGGTGAAAAATGCAATCTTTAAATCCTCTAACCTCAACTTGACGTTGTAGAGATTGGACGTAGTTAATGATCTCATCCAGCATAACAGCTTTTCCAGTAACCTGAAAATCAACCAATATTGAGTAACAAACAAAGCATAATCCGCAGAGTTGTAAATACAACATAGGAACATATGAAATTCTTTGAACAGCACCAACCTTGCTGCAGCCAGGGACAAGATCCTGAAGAAACTTCATCCTTTCACTGATCTTCTCCCTCCTTACCTACAAGTGAAATCTTTAGTTCAACTCAAGAATGGAGATGCTGAGGCTCTCATTGTATAAGGGCATGCAAATATTGAATTGATCAATAAAACATGCAAAATTCACATGAAGTCTTACTCTCTCCGCAAGACTATGGCTGTTTGTGGCCTGGCCTCTTCTTGCTCTGACATGAATGTATTCTTCTTTAGGTGAACCTGAGGCTTGAGGTCCCTGTTTACCGTTTTTTCCACCAGGCTTGCTGGAGGTTGGATTCTGGTCTCCCTTCTTCTGAACTTCAGTACCATCATTTGGAACTTCAGCAGCTTGTTGTGAAGATCCCTTTTTTTGGTTGTGTTCAGAATCCTGTCCAAACAAGAATATTATCACGAGGAAGCAAAATTGGCGTGAATGCATACTGCAAATGCTACATATGCAATTATAGTGCTACAATTCATTGACTGCCAAAAACAGTAAATTTAATCCTACCTGACCACATCTTTTCCTCTTCTTTGATCCAATTCCCTTAGGAGTAGACTCTCCATCTGCTGCATCCAATTCTTCTTGACCACCTCGGCCACTAAATTCAGCTTCATCAGAATCATTGCCAGAAGCACCGACACCTCCTTTAGCTTCATCGTGAGACCTCACTAAGCTCTCACTCTTCTTCTCATTCTTGAGAGGGATTCCCTCAGAGGGCCCACACTCAGTAGGAAAAGAAACATGTTTGGAACTTTCAGTCATGTTCATCTCATTTTTTGGGGGCTGCATTTCAGATGTTGGATTCAGCCCATTTCCCATCAAAGCCTCTTGAGATCCTAGCATTGATGCCAGCCCCCCAGCATATGGATTCATTGAATCAGATGCATTGAAGGGATTAATTAATTCACTAAAATTTCCACCACTGAAGCACGAATATCTCGCTGCTCTTTCAATGAAACCTGAATCAGCAGGAAAATGAGCCAAAGTCTGAGGAAGATACCCAGGTGCACCTGGTAGAAACATGCCCCCTTTCAACATTGCATTAGGTGGAGTCCATCCCATTCCCATACCAACTAAACTATCAAGACCAGCTCTCAGAGGTCCCAAACCACCTGCTCTATTCCCCAAAGCATTTGAAGTACTAGTATTATGTTGAACATTGTTGTCATTGAAACCTAAATTTTGTGCACTCAATGACTGTTCCCACATAGTAGGACACAATGAATCAATTACTGCAGCATTGGAGCTAGAAGGTTGCTCCAGATTGCCTGAAGAAATCAATCCCATGGATGCATTGGACAGGGAATTACCACTTAATTGCCATTCTGAAGGCATATTCGAGGATTGGTAGTTCAGAAGATCTTCATTCCTCTTCTCTGGTCCAATATTATCCTTTTCAGCCATATCCATTATGCTTGAAGAACTTCCAAACTTGGCAAATAACAATCCGTTGCAGTTAGTTTTCTTTCAAGAATCGGATAGGACTAGCAAGATTTGATTTTTACAAAACTACCCTAAAAATTCCAACTTTGTTCACTTTCTTCAACAAAAAGACCTATCATAAGCAAAGAGTGAAACAAAAAAAAATTACATTAACCTTTTAAACTAGCTCAACAACTAGATAAAAATTTCAACTAACCATGGTAAAAAATAGGAGAGTACTACTAAATTTAGACAGAGAAATAGGTACATACTAAACCTGTCCAAATAGCTGAAATGAAGCAAACAAAAATGATCCCAAATGCACACTTACATTTATTACCAATGAGTTAGAGTTAAACAAAACGATATGTTTGGAAAGAGTCCGTGCAACAAAAAAGTATATTAAAGAACGGCATATAGAAGAACATCGGTTTTTCCAAAGCAACCACTGAATTTCCAGAAGTCCCTATAAATTTGCACTAAAGAAACTCCTGGATATCCAAAACAAGAAAGGAAGAAAAGCCCAGCTCAGTAGAAAGCTAAAAAAAGTGAGCAGAAGCAATTAATTGCGCAGAGACATTGATTTTGGCACAATGAATACTCATTCAACCACTGCAGAAACCCTAGTCAGAAGTAAACAGAGCTCTGAAACAGAGAAAGACCCAACTAAAAGGTGTGAGAAAAGAAAGATACCCAATTTCAGATTCTGAGCTGCTGATACTTTTGGTAATACGCTCTGCATACCTTAATCTTGAACTGCTGACTTTTTCCTTTATTTTGTAAAAAAAATTTCTACTTTCTTGAAATTTAGTACTTAAAGTTCTGGGATTCTGAGGACTCTGCTGTTCAAACTTTTGAACAACAAAGATGATAGTTACAGGATGGGTGGAAAGGAGAGAGAAAAATGTGTAAGAAGTAAGTATAATGATCAGATTGAGGAGTCAAGGAACGGAAGGAGAGAGAAAAAGAAGAAATTTGGTAATTGAATTGAAGGAAGTGAAAAGGAAAGAAAGATTGGGAGCAAAGGTCCTGCATTTATACCCACGCCTGCATCAAAAAAAGTGCTCTTGATGATTAACCACCGCCACTGCCACTGTTAAAAAATTGCCACAAGTAAATTAAACAATCAGAATTTTGATTATGGGGCAGCTAAAAATTAGTCTTTACCTCAAATGGCTTTTCTCCAAAGTAATACAACGTTGCAAATTTTAAATGTTATTTCAGCAAATGCACAAAAGAAGAAGGGGGAAAAAAAAAACCAAATTTGCATTTTGAGAAGTCAAATGCTGGAGTTAAATGCTAGCCAAGGTCACGTGCCTTTTATTCTTGTTACATGTACGAGTTTGGTCCTTATTACTAAAGGATCCGGGCAAGCATATGAACGTACTAGTTTTGATGGTCCCCTAGTATGAAAAGGAGAAGAAATAGCAGCTATCTTTTCTTTATGCATTAATGGATACTGAGACTGGATCTTTTCTTTCTCAAGTACTCCTTAAATTTCATCTAAAGTAAAAGAAGGAATGGAGTACTTGAAATTTTTCTGGTGAGTGCTAATATCATTTTTCATGTACGATGATTATGATTCTGGGATAAAGCCTACCTTAGCTTTCCTTAGATGCAACAATTTTCTTTGCAATTTCGTACGTGTTTGCTTTTAGTATTAAAAATTTTGTTTGACAGTAGGAGAATCCAAGCTTTCTTGGTAAGATTCATTATAGTGTGTAATGTTTTACTTTTAAGTTGGAGGTTGTGTTTTTATTAATGGCGATAATACTGGATTGAGCTAGCACCTGACAATTTGCCAACCCTCACCAGATATTAACTTTACTTTATCACATTTACTCCTTGGGAGCAGAGCTTATAACGTTTAATAGTACTGTGTTTGTTTGGTCAAGACACCTATAGTTTATTCTAGTCTTTTACTACTTAGCTAGTTGCCTGTTTTCAGTCTTCACATACACTTTTGCCACTTGGGTTGCTTCTGGACGAGGTCCAGTATTCTGTTATAAGTGTATAGTATATTCCATCTTGATAACTTGACTAACTTATACTATATAAATTTATCCTGTTCTGCTTTATTTGTGTTCCTCTCCGGTTCTTCTTGTTACAAATAGCATATCAACTACGTACCTTCATTCTATTTAAGATGAAAATTGTAACCTTTTCAATATATGTGTGACAATGGTTCCCGCAGTGTTTGTCTGAGCTCAAGCTCTTTTAGCACTAATTTCTCGAGTTTTGAACTGGTTAGATCACGGTTGAGTTTGGGAGGTAAAAGCAAAAAGAACTGCATATGGAGTTGTTTTCTCCCTTTGCTTTGGGAGCATTCTTCATGGCTCAGGTTTGATTTGGAAGCTATAGCAAATTTTTGACGAGCAAAAGTGGGGCTTCCTTCTGGTCTACGGCAGACGAAAGAGTGAAAATTGCAATGAGAGGCTGAGGACGAAAGATAGAAGAGTGACATAAATTATTTGTTGCAACATTTTGTCATGGCATAGCCTAGGCAAAGTCCTGGAACATACGTCCTTTACTTTCACCCCATTACCCCGAAAAGCAGCCATGAACTCTTGCATGAATATGTAAAAATTATTGAACAAAATCTGTACAGATTTTTCTTGTAGTACTATTTTCAGAACTCTTGAAAAAATGCAAAGGCACGTAGTTTTGTTAAATTTTAGAACTTTTAGCATGCTTATGGAAAGAATGCACAGCAGAAGTTTTATCTCCTCCTGTTTATGATTTTTGCAAGAGCATGACAAAATAACAAAGCACTGGCACTGCATAACAAAGCACCAGCCCCTTGACATCGATCGATCTTACAGGGAATGAAATGAAATGGTTGCAATCGTCCTGAATGTGATGAAAGATACAACCCATATGATTTGTTGATGACCATGTGGTAAATGTCATATATACGTAAAAAGGAACAGAGAAGGAAAAGAAATAGCAAGAATCATCATGTTTCTTCATAAAAGGAAATATGAAAAAAAAAAGAGGACAAATTGCCATTGTATCTTCCATCACTTTCTGAAAAACAATAATGTTTATGATTTGTAGATGTGGGTTTTCAATGTAGCTAGAAGGACTCCAAGCATAGTAGAAACTGGAGAGGGTATAGAAATAAAGTAAACGAGGATTTCTTGCATGACATTAAAAACTAAAAAGAATTTACGATTTAAGCTGGTATAGAAAACTTCAATTCTTTGCACTAATTAATGCTAAAAAAAATCGTGGGACCAGATATTTGAAACATTTATGGTTTTCAATTAATTTCATAGTCGTAGTACTTTAGGAGTTCCAGGCCTTTATTGGTAGAATCCCTGTATGGATTTATTTTGCCTTTCATCACTGACTTTGATGATCATTGTGCCGGCAGAGATTGCCATGAATTTATTAGATAGGGCATCTTGGCCTTTTGCAATGTGTTACTTAGGGTTTGAAGGACAGGCAGTATCAGACTCTCAGTCTCTTTAATGGGGTTGTAGGGAGTCAGGTTGCATATCAGTTTTATCATTGAATCTTGAATGAATGCCAACCACTAAATTGAGTTAAAATGTATTTGGATAGTAGATTGCAACCCTTTTTTTATGTGATATATATGAAATGAAAAAGTGATTGGAAAATATGTTGATGATACAAGTAAATAAATTTTGACAAATAATTAAAAAAATGACCGGTTTCATTTCTTCATTTTACGAAAATATTCTTTTCATTCCTCACTTTTAAAACGAAGCAAATTCGTTCTTGACGTTTAAAAACTGAAACTATTACATGCTTGGAATCAATTTTCATTCTGAATCCAACCACCAAACAACCCGATTACAAATTTTGGGGGTATAATTAGTAGATCACTTGATTAACTCAACTTAATATTCATGTGAAATTTAATGAATTCAAAAATAAAAAATAAAAAATCATAACATAAAAAAGAAGGATTAATCTTTCCTGCATTGTCATTGTATACACTAATAGGTCTAAATACTTATCACATCATTTCAATTTCAATTTAAATGCTAAACTTTATATGTATGTTATATATCTAGACTCGCAAGTGTACACACTAACGGTGTATGAAAAAATTTACCCAGAAAAGAAACCCAACTATTTCAAAACAAAGAACGGCCTTTTATGTTATAATTCTTTAATTTTTGCCTTTTTGGTTCAGTAAATGTCATGTGAATGTGATGGAATTGATCGAGTGATTTATCAATTCTATCTCCAAAATATATTATTGGGTTATTAGATGTTTTGATTCAGATTAAAAGTTGAGTTCATGGACGTAATAGCTTCAATTTTTTAATGTTAAGGAGGAATTTGCTTCATTTCAAAAGTGAATGATAAAAAGAATATTTTTGCGAAATGTAAGAGATGAAACAAGTCATTTTCTCCCAAATAATTCACTATCCAAACAAAATATTTTCAGATTTTGCTCAGCATGTTTCCTTGAAGCTAATTAGTATTTCAATTTAAATTGTATTGTTTGATATTTTTTTTTTCCTTTTCCTGCCACGCGGACAATTTTTTCTTTTAGTAATGCGGTTTTGTTCTAAAACTAACTTAAATATCATTAAAAGACAGTGATACAAAAGGCCGCATCAAGAAGTGAAGAAAGGTATTCAGCGTAGTGGGAATGGAATTCAATGCTGCAAGTCTCATGCAGAAACATTTTCGAGTTAGTAATAATTTTCAAGGACTATATTCTAAGGATTCAATTACAAAATTCCCTTGGAAAAAGAAAGACAATTTCCCACTTTGTCTTTTCTTTTGATTCCTAACAACCAGAAATTGACGGTGAATTTGATAAAACTGAAGTTTGAAAACTGAAATCTGAAATTTGAAGTTTAAATCCATTAAGTTGTTGAATTGTTAAGTATTAAATCTAATACACATTTGAGTGCATATCGCATTCAACGATAATTGAATAACTTATCACTTAATTTCGGGAGCAACATTTGTTTAGAAAATTTAGTACCACTTAATTAATTCAAATGTTTAATTTTTGGTTATCAAACGATCTGAATATATTAAGATTTGTATACATTAAATTTAAGTGCTGAACTGAGTTTGAATGTACCACGTAAGGCATAAATATTGCAAGAAAAGAAGAAATATGCCTTATCAATGATATAAATGTGGGATAATGCATTTTCCCCCCAACACTATTGCTTCAAATAAGGGCACATGATATTCCACTCCAATGCAATATAAGCATAGAAAAGGTCACCAGGTCGGATAAACTTCGTGGGTTGTTGGGTTGATATTGTGTGAAAATTAGGAAATTTTGGAAAGTTTAAGGGGGTGGAATGATCCAAATCGTAATTAATACAACTCCAAATTGCTCTCGCTAATAAAAGTCCCCGGGACAATCTTATTTTTTTTTAAAAAAAAAAAAATATATATATATATATATATGAACATGCAGGCGATGATAATTAATAATGTAGTAAAGAGATACTTCTGCATCTAAGCTTGAATTATTTGAGATCTAATTTTCACATAAATCTGAACACAGAACCTTGATTACATAATTAGCTGGCGGAGGATCACAATGCATTGCATGCATATGCATTATGAATTCAGCCTCCCCAGAGTCAAACTGCCAGCCCTGCGAACTGCTTTGATCTTTAGTTGATTCTATTATGCTGTTGGCTGGCTATCATTGCTTCAAGCTTTTTGCAGGATTCGGTAACATTTCCAAGAAAAACTGCAAGAACTAATATATAATCAACCAAGACATAATAATATTGTAAATAAATGTCCCAATTAAACCAAGTTGACACTTATGTTTGAACTGGCATTTTATTAAGGTTAACGAAGTAGTTGTTCCTCGTAATGAGCAAATTAAGGTACGGTACAAGTTTTTTTTTTATTTTTTAGTAAATTAATTGAAAATCGTTCAACACGATTTACTTGACAAACAATAAAAAAAAAAAAAAACTGCATCAACTAATAATATAGAACGAGTTACGGATATATCTGATTTGAAAAATATGCAATTATTATAT